TTACACCTATAGTTCTTGAGGAATGCTCTTTAAGCACACAGCCTTTAGATGCTTGCATCTAATGAACAGACTTTAAACTGCTTGCAGTTTAAAAACTGATACAACCTCTAGATGTTTGCATCTAATGAACAGATACAGACTTTAAACGCTTGTGATTAATGCAAAGTTACAGCCTTAACTGCTTGCAGTTAATGAACAGTATAGCTTTTAGCTATTACACAGAACGGCTTGAGCTGGGACAGTTCGCCTCTTTATAAATAGTATAAAAGAGTTTTCCCAGTCCATTAAAACTTACCTGTATATATGTTATAAATAATACATAATAAAACTTTATAGTTTTATACAGTTTTCTTCCATTTGTTCGAAGAGAGAGAGCCGAACATAGCACAACTACTTTTTAGCTAGTCCGCCTTCTCCTCTGAAGAAGCTCTACTTTAAACGGCTTGTGATCGGCCAATAGATCACTGGTGGCAGAAAAATTAACGGGTGTGGGTCCTGAGCAACCATTGCGGCAGATTCCCCACACTACCAAACCGCTACACCATTTCGTGGCGAAAGACAGAAGAAGAAGAAGTAAAAAGTGCGCCACAGTACCACAGCAATGGGTGAGAAACTAGGAGAATTCATTGCATATACAAGACGATGTTGTCTTTAATCGCTGTCCATTTATCATAAATATTGAAGCCTAATTAAATTCTCGGATTATCCACTGTCCACATCTTTTCCCGCGATTTTTATCTCAGAAAATGTTGTACGTTTAAGTCTCTCCCTTTTTACTTGTCCGCTCGCCATCAAGTTTATCAACATATAAATCAAGCGCTTACTAACGCTGAGAGATCCGACAATCTTCGCGTTCAACCTTTGACGTCACCCGGGTTGCCGGTTAGGGAAACCCTTCTTTTTTTTTCCCGTATGCGCTCCATGGGTGTTTTTCAGGAAATCCAGTATTTTTCTAGTAAGATTGGATGTTTCTACTTTCCATATATACCACAATTGCCATACTTTTATTGGAAATAACTACCCCATAAATACTTTTCTGAGAAAGTATCTTTAAGCGAAATAAGAACTTTAAATTAGTTTTTCATTTTTTCGTCTTTTCTTTCTATCAATGTTTTATAGTTTGGTGAGCCTTTTAATAACAACGTTATTCACGTTAATATTTTCTTATGTGGTTTGAGTTGGCCTTTTTCAAAAACATTCATCGGTTAAATCAAATATGCAAAAATACTTACCCGTAAAATATAATAAAGATAATATTTGTTAACCAAAATATTAGGTTGAGTTGTATTATAAGTTTATGATATGATGACGGTCTGAAAAGTTCTAAGCCTAGATCAGAATAGATCAATTGGGTTGAAACAAACGTTTGCCACCAACAAGTATCATCATTGAATGAATCATAGCCATAAGAACTACAACTATAGTGTTATTATTGTCTTCGTACCAGACCATCTTGTGAACCTATCAATTGAAATACTACAAAACTGGCTATAGGACAGTTATCAAGTACCAGCAACTGAAAGGACTAACCCCAACACATGGTCTCCACTTTAGGGGTTGATGCCTCTTTAATTTAAGCATGAATGAGAGAGCCTTGACGATGAAGGCCATCAACAACAAAAATTCAAGAAAACATTACTTGGGTGCATGGCTGATCAACGATTGGTCTTCTAAATAAATAAATAACAATATATTGAGTAGTCGTTTATTTTAATTTGGCCCGAGTGGTCTTCTAATCGTAGTCGGAATGCTCTTCTAATCTCGGCCCGAGTGATCTTCTTATCTTAGTCCCAATGCTCTTCTAATCTCGGCCTGAGTGGTCTTCTTATCTTGGTCCGAGTGGTCTTCTAATCAAGGTCTGAGTGGTCTTGGTCCAAATGGGCTTCTGTCTTGGCCCGAGTGGTTTTGTTAGGAGTGGTCTTCTGTCTTAGTGGTGAATTGTCTTCTATTATTCGTCCGAATGGTCTTCTAAACTTGGTCCGATTGGTCTTCTAATGTTGGTCCGATGTCTGGCTGTTTCATTTGCCTCTCTATATCACCCGTAACAAGCAAATAATAACCCAGTACTACCAAATACTTATCAAATATTATAAAATACAAACCTAATATCGTCAAATAGCAGCACATTATGGAAGTATAACGTTGCCAATATTATTTCATTGTTCACGGTGCAAACTGCAAATGTCAGTAGTTCAAAATACCTATTTTAGTTTTACAATTTGCAATTTCCATTGCTCAACAATACCAATGCCACGGTGTTAAAATACAGAATACACTTTTCAATAATACAAAATACAGTAGAATAGTTATTTTGCACATTACACTTCTGCATTCTGCATAATAGACAAATGCATAATAGAACCTTGCATAGTAGAACATATACCTTATATGGGATGTACGACGTACGTCATTTGCATACGGAAAAAAGTCCGGACTATGACGGAAATTAATGATTTACGCGATAAAGCCATATGGTCACCTGGATACGAAATGAAGTTAGCACACATATTCCTAGCGCCAATAAAAACCTAGATATAATTATCACGAAAATAATTGTTACCTTTATATTAGAAAACGACATATTAATGCCAAGTATATAAGTAACAGACCCCCCCCCCCACCATGAATAAAAAAATACTATTACCGTAAACATACTAAAATATCGCACACTAGGCTAACTGAGCGCGCAGAAAAGTGGTGCGTCCACGCTGCATCAAAATGCACCGAAACCAGCTTTGGTGGCAAAATGTTTTTTTGTTTCATGGAATCAAGGGATGAATAAACGACTAAAATACAAATTTTCAGAAGCTTCCTAAACTGGCTTTTAGAGAAATATCTCCATAAACATACTAAAACCATGGGGGGATCGGGTTAGGGTAGGCTCATCGCGCACGCAATAACTTATAAAATAGCTTTAGTGGCTCCAAGATCTTTATTTCACCAAATCAACAGATGGATAAGATATGAACAGGACAATTTTCATTTACTTTCTATGTTATCGAGTTATACCACAGCAAAGTTCCCAGCACCTGGATTTGAGGCGGGGTTCGCGGGTGCAATAAACAAGGGGTACGTCCACACTGCACCAAAAAGCACCCCAAACTGGCTTTGGTGGCAAAATGTTTTGTATTTCACAGAGTCAAGGGATGAATAACTACTAGATTACAAAAATCCAGAAGCCTTCTATGCTGGCTTTTAGAGATATATTACCGTAAACATATTAAAAATATGGGGGAATCGTGTTAGGGGTAGAGTCACTGCGCACGCAATAACTTCTAAACTAGTTTTGGTGGCTCCAAGATCTTTATTTCACCAAATCGACAGATGCATAAGGTGTGAACATGCCAAATTTCATTAACTTTCTATGTTGGGGTATCGAGTTATACCACCGAAAAGTTCCCAGCCCCAGATTCGAGGCGGGGTTCGTGGGTACAATAAACAAGGGGTACGCCCACGTTTCATCAAAAAGCACCCGAACGAGCTTTGGTGGCAACATGTTTTGTATTTCACAGAGTCAAGGGATGAATAAACGACGAGAATACAAAAATCCAGAAGCCTTCTATGCTGGCTTTTGGAGATATATTACCGTAAACGTACTAAATATGTGGGGAATCGAGTTAGGGTAGGCTCACTGCGTACACACACAATAACTTCTGAACTAGCTTTGGTGGCTCCAAGATCTTTATTTCAGCAAATTTCTTTGGGGGGAGGGGGGAGGGGGGGGGGGTCTATTACATATTATTATATACTTTGCATTAATATGTCTTAAAATGTTATTTTCTAATATAAAGGTAACAATTATTTTCATGATAATTATATCTAGGTTTTTATTGGCGCTAGGAATATGTATGCTAACTTCATTTCGAATCCAAGTGCTGGAATACGGGTGAGAGATTCCGCTCGGTTACTATAAGATTCTTTAACCTTACCCAAAAAAAGGGTTTTAGAGACCTGTCAATTAAATAAGATATTCAATTTAATTTTTAACAAGAAATTGATTCAATTGAAATATCTGTTTTTTTACCAATGAGAACAAATAAGAATAGTCTCGTTAAGCCAGACTATTATCTTTCAGAATCCTCTAATCGTCGAACTGATTACAGTATAGAGCTTGGACGTTGAAGACTAACAAAATCGAGTACTGCCCCCTTCTAATGACCTCGGCCTTATGGATTTATCGCGTAAATCATTAATTTCCGTCATAGTCCGGATTTTTTTCCGTATGCAAATGACGTACGTCGTACATCCCATATAAGGTATATGTTCTACTATGCAAGGTTCTATTATATGCATTTGTCTATTATGCAAAATGCAGAATGCAGAAGTGTAATGTGCAAAATAACTTTTATATTGTATTTTGTATTATTGAAAAGTGTATTCTGTATTTTAACACCGTGACATTGGTATTGTTGAGCAATGGAAATTGTAAATTGTAAAACTAAAATACGTATTGTGAACTAGTGACATTTGCAGTTTGCACCGTGAACAATGAAATAATATTGGCAACGTTATCCTTCCATAGCACATTAGTATAATAACGCAACAAATGTTCGATAATTTGAAGAAAATTGAAATATTTACGCAGTTATCTCCCTTTAAAACCGATAAATATTGTTACAGATGTAAAATAAAGTGATCTATATGTCTGCTCAGTTTGGATAAGTTGACTCTTCGCATCAATGAGATATTAAGTACTGAAATTGGTGGTAAAAAACAAATGAAACTACAGATTTTTTACCATTTTCAAGACCGGAAAAGCCATCTCAGCATTTCCATGGGTGGATCAATCACTCTTACATTTTATATACGTATGTTTAGGCACTAGGTAAGCCAATAGACAAAAATGGATGAAATCCCAAACTTGAGCCTTATCACTTCCTGTATGGTCTTATTGCGGACACATCCTTAATTATGACTATTTTTCTGATTTTTCAATCCATGTACCCGAGTTAAAGGAATCACAGAGTTCTAATCACCAACATGCTACAGTCTGTACTTACCAGATATATCGGGTTTAGCCGCTTCTTCAATATTGGTATTCGCTTTATTTTCAGTGTCTGTTTCTGTTTTTATTCTGTCACTTTGATCTGTCTGTACCATTGTATCATGGCTGGGGTCATCTTCAATATAAAATGATTCAATTACAAAATGAACTGTGGTAAGTTAGTAATTGACTACAAAAGTGTTTCATAATACCAAAGCAGAACTAGATTAAATACCAATGTTATTTAACAATTTATTGATCTGATTTTGTTTTCATTTGAACACTCAACAATTTGCAAAAAGGTATCTTTGACACTGCAGTATGTAGAACAGGCCAGGGTTAATTGTGATGTCAGTGGAAATGAAATATAATCATTACACAGTTTGAAGTATTGGAAATCTAATGGATAATAGGACATTAATAAGTAATGAGTAACTGAAAGATTACATTTCAAATATTATTATGTAATGGTCAACTATATTTCAATCCTTTTATCGCAAATTTGAATATTATATATCTGATAAAGTCAAATATTATGTAATGGTCAACTACTCAATCTTTTTATTTCAAATTTGAATAATAACTATGTATATTTAATCCAGCAGATTAACAAAAATCACAAAATTTAAATCAGTTTTACGAATAAAAACGACGTTTTAGAATTTTGTTTTTATGTTAAACTTCACCTAAAACATGTAAGTTTAAACAATTACAAACAAAAATGAGGTTTTAAAATGTTGTTTTTAAATTAAACTCCATCTAAGACATGTAAGTTTAAACTGATATAGATTTTAATCAAATTCCGAATTTGGATAAACAAGAGAACCTTAACATTGAAAACTCAAAACAAATGAATGCATGACAACTCAGGCCAAATACCACTCAGACCAAAACCGGCCGGATCAGTTAATAGACCACTCGGACAAAGATAGAAGATCACTCGGACCAAGACCTTATATCACTTGTACCAAGGCAGTAGATCGCTCGGACCAAGATAGAAGACCACTCGGAGCAAGATAGAAGACCACTCCGACCAATGTTTTTGAAATAATACAGTGTTGTTTTAATAAATTGATAATAGTGTTTGTTTTAATATTAAAGTGTTATTTTAATAAATTGATATTTATGTTTGTTTTTCTACATTTGTTTTCTTTTTAACTTTCTTATCATCTCATCATGAAGCATAGAAAAAAATCTCAACGAGTCATCAACAACTGAATAGTTATTAATTCGTATACTTGTATTTCGGAAAAGACTATTCTTTGTGTGTACTATATTTATCATTTGTACCGCCTTTTATTGCAAGCAGTATAATAACTGCAACAAATGTTCGATAATTTGATGAAAATTGAAATATTTACGCAGTTATCTCCCTTTACAACCGATAAATATTGTTACCGATGTAAAATAAAGTGATCTATATGTCTGCTCAGTTTGGATAAGTTGACTCTTCGCATCAATGAGATATTAAGTACTGAAATTGGTGGTAAAAAACAAATGAAACTACAGATTTTTTACCATTTTCAAGACCGGAAAAGCCATCTCAGCATTTCCATGGGTGGATCAATCACTCTAACATTTTATATACGTATGTTTAGGCACTAGGTAAGCCAATAGACAAAAATGGATGAAATCCCAAAATTGAGCCTATCACTTCCTGTATGGTCTTATCGCGGACACATTCTTAATTATGACTTTTTTTCTGATTTTTCTATCCATGTACCCGAGTTAAAGGAATCACAGAGTTCTAATCACCAACATGCTACTGTCTGTACTTACCAGATGTATCAGGTTTAGCCGCTTCTTCAATATTGGTATTCGCTTTATTTTCAGTGTCTGTTTCTGTTTTTATTCTGTCACTTTGATCTGTCTGTACCATTGTATCATGGCTGGGGTCATCTTCAATATAAAATGATTCAATTACAAAATGAACTGTGGTAAGTTAGTAATTGACTACAAAAGTGTTTCATAATACCAGCGGAACTAGATTAAATACCAATGTTATTTAACAATTTATTGATCTGATTTTGTTTTCATTTGAACACTCAACAATTTGCAAAAAGGTATCTTTGACACTGCAGTATGTAGAACAGGCCAGGGTTAATTGTGATGTCAGTGGAAATGAAATATAATCATTACACAGTTTGAAGTATTGGAAATCTAATGGATAATAGGACATTAATAAGTAATGAGTAACTGAAAGATTACATTTCAAATATTATTATGTAATGGACAACTATATTTCAATCAGTGATGGGATTTTACCCGTATATTCCGGACTTGTCTGAATCTTTTTTCAAAACGCCCAAAATTGTCCGACCGGGAATATGCCCAATCGGACATCAAGACATGGTGAATAATATTCAAATTCCAAAATTAATATAGTGTACTGAGTGTATAACTACCGTGCAACCCGTTTATCATTGATAATAGGCTGGATTGATTAGGTAATTAAGTGATCGACTATTTATTGTGTTATGTCGTCTACACACCTACCTTGATTAACTACTATTCTGCCTTGATTGGCTGACTTAATCCTTTGTCGGACAATTCATCAAATCAATCCTGAACAGATGTCATTGCTTCTCCTTTGTCGGACGATATATCAATCCAATAAGAGTGATTATAAACTTAATCTGATTAACCTTTGATTTGTCCATTGTCTCACGTTTTAATCTCCTTTATGTTGGACAATAACACGTAGAAATTAGTCATATATGTCACATATCCTGATAGTATATAACACCTCAAATCAACAGACATTGTATCCAATAACTTGTCTGTGATATATTTTCGGTGGTAGCCTAAGTTAAATAAAGATATTTCACACACACGCATTTAACGCTAAGAAATGTTGACGAAAATTTCGATTGGAATGACGTGAGTAGTTAATTGTTTTAGACGATAGCGCATGCTACAGTCGAATGCAATTATTTAGCAGTTGGTGTCGCACGCTCGTTGTATTAGAGCGTCGTTAACTACGGTTTACGGCCAAATAAATTTTGGGATGTCATTTTTTTACCTTCCATATATAAATCGAAACGGAGTATCAGACGAATGTCGGACTTTGCTGAAAAATGTACCGACGTATGACCCGAAAAATACGGTAATTTTGGGGGAGTTTGAAACAGATCGGCAGCAGTCGGCACGCTGCCATTCTATAGTATTGATGTCATGTAATTTTGTAGGAATATTATTGACATAAATTTGAATACCGTACGGGTTTTAAACATGAAATATAACGAGGTGCACCTATTTTTTTTACATATGAATTTGAATATATCTTGTTGACACGTGATTCTTTATTGTGTTTTGAAAACGTCTGCTTAAATTACGATAAGAGTTATGCCCCTTTATTTTCGGGAAAAAATGTCCGACAATAATTTTTTTGAAATCCCATCACTGATTTCAATCCTTTTATCGCAAATTTGAATATTATATATCTGACAAAAGTCAAATATTATGTAATGGTCAACTATATCTCAATCTTTTTATTTCAAATTTGAATAATAACTATGTATATTTAATCCAGCAGATTAACAAAAATCACAAAATTTAAATCAGTTTTACGAATAAAAACAACGTTTTAGAATTTTGTTTTTATATTAAACTTCACCTAAAACATGTAAGTTTAAACAATTACAAACAAAAATGTTGGTTTTTAAATTAAACTCCATCTAAGACATGGAAGTTTAAACAAGGTGGCTATTTGAACTGATATAAGTTTTAATCAAATTCCGAATTTGGATAAACAAGAGAACGTTAACATTGTACTATATTTATCGATTTGTACTGCCTTTTATTGCAAGCTTGTCGTGGAATGCGTGTCAAAATACCCTAAGATTTAAAAATCTATTAAAATTTGTCACGTAACTTGACTGACGCGGTACCAAAGCAATGGGTAAGAATCCAGGAGGATTCATCGCATATACAGACGATGTTGTCTTTAATCGCTGTCCATTTATCATAAATATTGAAGCCTAATTAAATTCTCGGATTATCCACTGTCCACGTCTTTTCCCGCGATTTTTATCTCAGAAAATGTTGTACGTTTAAGTTTCTCACTTTTTACTAGTCCGCTCACCATCAAGTTTATCAACATATACATCAAGCGCTCACTAACGCTGAGAGATCCGACAATCTTCGCGTTCAACCTTTGACGTCACCCGGGTTGCTGATTAGGGAAACCCTTCTTTTTTTGTCCCGTATGCGCTCCATGGGTGTTTTTCAGGAAATCCAGTATTTTTCTAGTAAGATTTGATGTTTCTACTTTCCATATATGCCACAATTGCCATACTTTTATTGGAAATAACTACCCGATAAAAAGTTTTCTGAGAAAGTATCTTTAAGCGAAATAAGAATTTTAAATAAGTTTTTCATTTTTTCGTCTTTTCTTTCTATCAATGTATTATCGTTTGGTAGGGCCTTTTAATAATCACGTTATAAACGTTAATATTTTCTTACGTGGTTTGAGTTGGCCTTTTTCAAAAACATTCATCGGTTAAATCAAATATGCAAAAATACTTACCCGTAAAATATAATAAAGATAATATTTGTTAACCAAAATATTAGGTTGAGTTGTATTATAAGTTTATGATATGATGACGGTCTGAAAAGTTCTAAGCCTAGATCAGGATAGATCAATTGGGTTGAAACAAATGTTTGCCACCAACAAGTATCATCATTGAATGAATCATAGACATAAGAACTGCAACTATAGTATTATTATTGTCTTCGTACCAGACCATCTTGTGAACCTATCAATTGAAATACTACAAAACTGGCTATAGGACAGTTATCAAGTACCAACACATGGTCTCCACTTTAGGGGTTGATGCCTCTTTAATTTAAGCATGACTGAGAGAGCCTTGACGATGAAGGCCATCAACAACAAAAATTCAAGAAAACATTACTTGGGTGCATGGCTGATCAACAATTGGTCTTTTAAATAAATAAATAACAATATATTGAGTAGTCGTTTATTTTAATTTGGCCCGAGTGGTCTTCTAATCGTGGTCGGGATGCTCTTCTAATCTCGGCCCGAGTGATCTTCTTATCTTAGTCCCAATGCTCTTCTAATCTCGGCCTGAGTGGTCTTCTTATCTTGGTCCGAGTGGTCTTCTAATCAAGGTCTGAGTGGTCTTGGTCCAAATGGGCTTCTGTCTTGGCCCGAGTGGTCTTGTTCGGAGTGGTCTTCTGTCTTAGTGGTGACGTACTTGTCTTGGTGCGAATTGTCTTCTATTATTGGTCCGAATGGTCTTCTAAGCTTGGTCCGAATGGTCTTCAAATGTTGGTCCGATGTCTGGCTGTTTCATTTGCCTCTCTATATCACCCAAAACAAGCAAATCATAACCCAGTACTACCAAATACTTATCAAATATTATAAAATACAAACCTAATATCGTCAAATAGCAGCACATTAGTATAATAACTGCAACAAATGTTCGATAATTTGAAGAAAATTGAAATATTTACGCAGTTATCTCCCTTTACAACTGATAAATATTGTTACAGATGTAAAATAAAGTGATCTATATGTCTGCTCAGTTTGGATAAGTTGACTCTTCGCATCAATGAGATATTAAGTACTGAAATTGGTGGTAAAAAACAAATGAAACTACAGATTTTTTTACCATTTTCAAGACCGGAAAAGCCATCTCAGCATTTCCATGGGTGGATCAATTACTCTAACATTTTATATACGTATGTTTAGGCACTAGGTAAGCCAATAGACAAAAATGGATGAAATCCCAAACTTGAGCCTTATCACTTCCTGCATGGTCTTATCGCGGACACATCCTTAATTATGACTATTTTTCTGATTTTTCAATCCATGTACCCGAGTTAAAGGAATCTTCAATATTGGTATTAACTTTATTTTCAGTGTCTGTTTCTGTTTTTATTCTGTCACTTTGATCTGTCTGTACCATTGTATCATGGCTGGGGTCATCTTCAATATAAAATGATTCAATTACAAAATGAACTGTGGTCAGTTAGTAATTGACTACAAAAGTATTTCATAATACCAGCGGAACTAGATTAAATACCAACGTTATTTAACAATTTATTGATCTGATTTCGTTTTCATTTGAACACTCAACAATTTGCAAAAAGGTATCTTTGACACTGCAGTATGTAGAACAGGCCAGGGTTAATTGTGATGTCAGTGGAAATGAAATATAATCATTACACAGTTTGAAGTATTGGAAATCTAATGGATAATAGGACATTAATAAGTAATGAGTAACTGAAAGATTACATTTCAAATATTATTATGTAATGGTCAACTATATTTCAATCCTTTTATCGCAAATTTGAATATTATATATCTGATAAAGTCAAATATTATGTAATGGTCAACTACTCAATCTTTTTATTTCAAATTTGAATAATAACTATGTATATTTAATCCAGCAGATTAACAAAAATCACAAAATTTAAATCAGTTTTACGAATAAAAACGACGTTTTAGAATTTTGTTTTTATGTTAAACTTCACCTAAAACATGTAAGTTTAAACAATTACAAACAAAAATGAGGTTTTAAAATGATGTTGTTTTTAAATTAAACTCCATCTAAGACATGTAAGTTTAAACAAGGTGGCTATTTGAACTGATATAGATTTTAATCAAATTCCGAATTTGGATAAACAAGAGAACGTTAACATTGAAAACTCAAAACAAATGAATGCATGACAACTCAGGCCAAATACCACTCAGACCAAAACCGGCCAGATCAGTTAATAGACCACTCGGACCAAGACAGAAGATCACTCGGACCAAGACCGTATATCACTTGTACCAAGGCAGAAGATCGCTCGGACCAAGATAGAAGACCACTCGGACCAAGATAGAAGACCACTCCGACCAATGTTTTTGAAATAATACAGTGTTGTTTTAATAAATTGATAATAGTGTTTGTTTTAATATTAAAGTGTTATTTTAATAAATTGATATTTATGTTTGTTTTTCTACATTTGTTTTCTTTTTAACTTTCTTATCATCTCATCATGAAGCATAGAAAAAAATCTCAACGAGTCATCAACAACTGAATAGTTATTAATTCGTATACTTGTATTTCGGAAAAGACTATTCTTTGTGTGTACTATATTTATCATTTGTACCGCCTTTTATTGCAAGCTTGTCGTGGAATGCGTGTCAAAGTTCAGTTTACGTTTTATCATTAAAATCGGTAGGGACTTTGAATAATCGTGCATGTCGTGTAAATATTTTCAATTAAATTCATCAACATATTATTCCGTTTTTAATATACTACTTTTACCAGAATCTATGATTACCAAAGAACACAGGGCTGGATTAACCATTAAAGATACCTTCCCTGTACAAACTGTGTGATTTGATGATATATTTGGACTAAAAACATATTCAAACTAATAAATCTATTATAATTGTGCTTTAAATCCTTCTCAAAACATTGTATTCGCGAGAAAATACCCCAAGATTTAAAAATCTATTAAAATGTGTCACGTAACTTGACTGACACGGTACTGTGGCATAGCTACCCTTATGAAAAAGTTCTATAGAAAAAGTACAGGTTTCTATAGAAGTTTGTGGGATTCTAAAGAATGCTATAGAATGCTGCAGGAAAACGAAATTATTCTGTATTTTTTTTTTTTACATGACTATAGATTCAAAAACATGTACTATAGTTTTGTGTAGGATTGGTAGATGAATATTTTCCAAGTGTAATTTCCTATAGAATTCTATACAATACTGGAAGAAACTATTGGAAAAAAAATAAACCTACAGATTCATTGGTGCTGCTATAGTTTTCTATAGAACTAACTTGTATCCTCCAGTCAGTTGAGTAATCCTTCAGTTTTCTATAGCCTTTGTGCTAAAAACTATAGTTTGCTATAGAACCAACTTGCATTCTCATGTCAGCTGTGATTCCTATAGATTTGGTGGTAAAAACTATAGTTTTCTATAGAACTAACTTATTGTCTCAAGTCAGTAGTATATTCCTATAGTTGTCGATGACATTCTGTTGAAAACTAAGAATTTATATGTATATTGTCATTTTAACAAATAGCCTACTATAGTTTCCTACATAATATTGTAGAAACAATGTTCTATACTACAGATTTCATGAATTGGTGATGTCTTTTATTCATACTATAGTTTACAATAGAATTTAGTGATGCACTTGTGTGAATTATGTAAACTTTTCCAGCATATTAATTTTCCTGGATGCAGTTTTCCTTAATTTATTGTGATACCAAATGACAAACTAAAATAAGCTTACCACGAAAATTAAAATTAAATATAAAGTATAAAATAGTGTATATAATATGAATGAAATAGTGATACATGTTGACACTCAAAGGAATTCCCCACCCCAACAAAAATATCAGATAATAAATTATTCTTCAGATAAGTCAATGAAATAAAAACAGTTTATTTGAACTGTTAGGTGATCCTGCTAGTTAGATTTTAATGACTATAGCAGATTCTGTACTCAGATTCTGTCAACCGTGCATACCAGTCGACAAACTATAATTAACAAAAATGAAATGAAATGAAATGGGGTTTAACGTCCTACTCTTCTGCACTGCCATTGTACTCTATTGAAATCTGTTTGGCCATTGGCTGAATTTAAAATTCAAAAATTCAGTGTATAACAACTTAATATGTTAGTATTAACAAGAAACTGAAGAGAATGATGGTGTTTTTTCACAGATTCGATTAAAGATAGAAAGATAAGTATACTTTATTACTTTCTTAACAATAATATTAAATTACTTTAATTAGATAAGATTTATGTGATTTTGTTATTTATTTAACTTTATTACCTATTCTTTTCCCTATATATCAGTTTTACCAAGAAAAGAACTTTTCATGGTTCGGGCTGGTGAATCATCAACAGAATTCAGATTAATCCATGAGAGAAAAAATAAGCTTATTTAGAAGAATCCAGGCCACGAAATTTCAAATTTTGGCGTAACCAGAAAAATGGTTGCGGGTTTATGCTCTGCGTAACCATTTCTTTGGTTATGCCAGATGACCATTGCGTAACCAATTGGTTACATAAAATGGTTGCGCTGTTTTCATGTTTTATCCAGATTTAAATGGTGCTATTATTCATTTCCACTTGCAGTGATAGGGTGGCCCATGCACCTACAGAAATACAGTCAACCGCTGATAGTTCGAGACTACCACTGAAGCGTGCACATTCGCCGTGTCGAGGCCAACTTTCTGACAGTATGATACTATAAATAGCCATGACACGTGCAATTCTCTACAAATCTATCAACTATTACAGCCGTAAAAAATTTATTGTTGACGATTTTGAATAGCAGTAAAATTAAGCTTCTTGGTTATTACAGCAGATTTAGAAATTATGTTCGTTTCATTTTTTAAATCGCTTTATCATTAACTGTACCGTTAAGAGCGGCATCTTTTGGTTTAGTACAAATACTATCTCTGAAACACTCGGGTTAGACAGGAACATGATACTAGCAGTAGTTTCATTTTACTTTTACAAGCTTCTTAAAATAATTGTTGAGCTAGCTAACGTGCTCATTTCTTAATTCAATTTCTTGTTCTAGCTTTCTGTTATGTTTCGTAAAAAAGTAGTCTTGATTATCCCGACCTGTCAATCAGCCTTAGAATGGTCGATAGACTGGTTAAGCGACTCTAATTTCAAAACAAGGGCACGTAACCTATCTTTTACTCAAAAGTGTCTGGATGTTATGGACGAGACATGGAACCAGTTTTCAGTCTATTATTTATAGATGATTAATGGTCATAGCTTATTAAGTACAACATGATCGTTTATTTAGTGACTATAATTGTGTGAAACTGATTTGAGGCTTGGCATATATATAAATATTGTGGCGAAATTGTCGAGATATATGGAGATATTTATTTATGGTGGGTCACCCTAGCAGTGAATGTATTTTTAAAGAAATAACTTGACTAACTTTATTCTTTTATATTTAATATTATATTTTGAGGTTAAGTGTTAATGACTTTAATCCCACGATGTCCTCATTTAAACAATAAAACATTAGAAAAAAAAATTCCACTTCACTAAATCCCTATATTTTAATAATGAGGGGAATCGGTTCCAAAAATTACTAATGGATTTCCGTTTTTATGTCATATCCGACCTTCAAAAACCAGGAATGGTAGCTACCACATTGTTTTCGGTCACTGAAGACTACATGCGTACTTCATATATTACACTTGTAAGTTGTCACTTGCAATTATTCATCCAAGCACGTAGCATGAGATAGCCTCACTCATAGGTAGCGACTGATTGACAAACAGTATTTATTATGAACCTCGGCACTCTATACACAAAGTCTCAAAAGGAAAAAGAATAGTTTGATGTCATGAAATAATATTAAAATAGACAGGACAGTAAAATCGTTTACATTATCGCTCGAGCGATGCCGGGGAGGTGGTCAAAGTTGACGA